GCTATTAGACTCTCACAAGTTTTGTAGACATCATCCCTTGTTTCCTTGGTTTGTATTTTCTGTTCACCCATGGCTGCTTTAATCACATCCACATCTCGCTGGGTAAACTGCAAACTCGTTTTTATCTCCTGTATTTCTCTGGTCATGTTGTCGAGTCTCTTGTTATTTGTCTCCATAAGTAGTTGCACAAAACCTTTGAAGTTGTCTTGTTGTTGGCTCAACAGTGCGGTGTACATCTGCTTCTACTGACTCAACATCTCTGTTACTTGCACCGCTGAAATATAATCCTCTTCTGCTTCAACATCCTCATTCACTTCTCATTTATTAGCTCTTTTCCCTCTTGGAGGCATTTTAATAGTTGTAGAATTTGTCCAAAGACTTGAAAATGTAGAAGATGTGAAAAATTGTAAAACAGACAAGAGGAGCAGTAAAGACATCTGCTCTTGCTTGCAACCCGGAAGCATCCCTAATGGTGCAGTGTTGGAAGCTCTGTGTGTGACAAAAGCAATATTATATAAGGAATCGTATATTTAGAATCACTATTGCAGCCAATGTTTCACAAGGGTCATGGACTTCTACTACAGCAGTCACTGGAAACTGGAAACTGTATGCTTGTTTCTCTGTGCAGAGCCTTGCTAGAGCACAATCTAGGTGGAGTTATACTTTGCACTGATGACTATTTCACTCACAATGGAGAATATGAGTTTGACCCCAGAGCTCTGGGAGAGGCCCATGAGTGGAACCATCAACGAGGTAAAAAAAAAGAAAGAAACAGCTTTGATGAGATAAATATTTGCTGTTGCCTCCTAATGCTGCTTCCCATCTGTACTAAAACAAGAAATGCTTTATTTCTCTTGTGCTTTCTCATGTAAACATCATCCTATAGCCAAGGATGCTTTTAAGAGGGGCATGAACCCCATCATCATTGACAACACCAACATGCAGGGCTGGGAGATGAAACCCTATGTGGCTCAGGTCAGTCAGTTTGCCATCACTTCATCCAGCACAGTAACAGAACTCATGCCACTTAATTTTGCTGTTGTGCTAATTGCTCTGGAAAAGAATTTTATAAAACCATTTTAACCAACAGCTAACCCATGATACTGTAAATGGTTTACGCCTCGATCAGAGCAACATTAGCTCTTTTATAAGAAAATGCAGTGCCAACTAGGCATCATCTCACAAAACACTGCAGCGGCTAATCAAGTACGTGCAACCACATATTCTTGGTAGACTACTTTGTAACTGTTACACACTTGCCACCACAGTATTTTTCAAACATGCACTCCAGCTTGAACATAGGGTATATCATCCACATATCCACATGATCATTTTTTGACAGTGACATGAGCATATTGTTCCTAAAACAAAAAGTATTGTAGGATTACATATCATTTGATAAACACCAGACATAGTACTCATAATTTTATTACGAACTGTAAAACATGGTTGGTCCTTATACCTGTTGTAGGCGCTGAAACATGGATATAAAGTGCTGTTCCGAGAACCGGACACTTGGTGGAAGCACAAGCCTAGAGAGCTAATGAGGTGAGAGAGAAAGGCATTACAGTAGTTGGAGACTTTTTTTTATATAGTCCAGACTTGTGTCTTTTATCTGTTTGTGTGACTTTGTGCATGCGCAGACGCACCTCACATAATGTGCCAGTGGAAACAATCCGCCGGATGCTCAATGGATATGAACGCTTTGTCACAGTCCACGCCATTATGGGTTCACAGATGCCTGAGTGCAAACAGCGCCTCCTTCTGGAGAACAGGAGCTCCAAGTGAGCATCACTCAAATGTTGATACATTTGAGCTCTTCTACATCAAATTGCATTCATATAAAATGCAAAATTTATAGTGGCAAATTTTAAAATATCTTTCATCTTACATTTTTAATACTGCAAAATAGTTTCCTCATCATGTTGCCTTAAGTGAAAATCAGTTTTTGTAAAAAAAATAAATAAATAAAAATTATAATTCAGCTCCTTTCAGATATCACAGTTTTAGACATGGATATGCTATTAGTGATAGATATTAACTTTACTAAATCAAATGTTTTATAAAACAAACTAGTATATTTTCATACAAATATATGTTTCTATGAAACTATTAGCCACTATAGACCCATATATTGTACACCTGTCATCAGTTATGGCAGTTGTACTATTCATACTGTATCTTTCTTGTTTTCTTTAGGCAAATATCCTCAGAAACACCTTGTCCTGACCTGGTTGGGCAGCCTGGATTAACGGAGGGATGTAAGAAATCCCGTGCTCATCTATTTTACTCCCTCCCTGATGTGTCGTCTATTGGTCATTCTAGTGAGATGGGAATGCTGGAAGACAGCGCCCACAAGTCTGCTGAGTCTCTCACTTTCTCACCTGCTGGACGACCTCTCGAAAACCCTGAAATTTCTGAAGGGGACGCTGACATGGATTTGGGGGAATTAGATTCTGAATTGGATGCTCACTTAGAGCCGGGCCATTCAGTAGGAGACCAGAGAATCCCTGACTGTATCGTGGAATCAGTGATGAATGAAGACCACCGTGGTGAGGAATTGCCCATGGCCTTCTCTGAGTCTATTGGACAGAGGGTGAGGAGAGAAAGGCCAAGCAGGACTTCTGGTTTTGACAGGATGGAGCCTGCAGATCTGGTGAAGGATACTAACCAATCACAGAGTGAGGCAAAGGAGAAAGAAAAGACAAAGGAAGAGGAGGCAGAAGAGGTTGAAGTGAATAGGGATGAGGCAGAAAAGGGAATGCCTAAGATTTTGGATTTTGCCGGGGATTGGCCTTCTGAAGGGTCCCTTGAGCAGCGACAGTTAAGGAGAAGAGCAAGGCAAATTGAAGGACATAAGGAAGAAGATGAAGGTGTGTCTCAAGAAGCTAATGAAAATAAATTGAAGGTGCAGTCTGGGCCTGATGTAACAGAGTTTCAGAAGCTTCTTGATCTTATTCAGACAGGTGGGGCTGCCATTCAGACTAGCTCTTCTCGTTCGTCCTCTCTTTCTTCAATCTCTGCAGAGGAAATGGAAAAAGAAGAAAAGCCAGGTGGCAGGTTTGAAAAGTCACTTGGCAGTATATCTAACAGTGAAGAGAGAGAGCAAAACATGAGCCGAGTTAAAAGCAGCAGAGGTGAATTACCTGACTGTGTGTTAGACTGGAAGGCAGCTGACTCTCTCAAGGTCAGAAAATCAACAACTGATAATTGGGAGGACCTTAAAACTGAAAATGAAGCAAGTAGTACAACAGGAGGAAATGACCAGTTGTCTGAAATTGACATTGAAACAGAGGCTGTGCATTTGAAATCAACCATCAGTATAAATCATCTGTCAGCTGATTCATTAGTTAAAGCTCCTGAGACAGATGCATGCCATGATTCACTGGGAAACCACTATACTGAAAATGAGGTTGCTGGTAGTAGTGATATTGATATGGACACTAATAACTACATACAGGATGGCAGCCATGTTAGTGAGGCGTGTTGGAGTCCAGTGTGTGAGGGCTCTGTGGAAGCAGAGTGCAGTGGAGGCAGTCAAGAGAGAAAGCAGCGTCAGAGTCGCAGATCAGGGAAACAGTGCAAGCTAGCCCTCACCTTCACCCAAAACTGCCCTGCTTCTTCACTGAATACTCCTGAATGCCCCATTACCAAAGCTGATAATATAGACAGTAGTCAGAATAGCATTAACACAGATGTCAAGCCTAACCTTGATTCTGACTGCAACACCAGCTTTAACCTTAAACCTGACTTTGACCAGTTCACAGAGTCCAAATTGGAGACACACCTGCAGCCTCTTCCCACTCTTCCTCTGTTAGACACAGGCTGCTTCACGCAGACAGAACCTCAAGACTTTGCATTTCTTTGGCGTCTCAATCATCCAGACAGGTCTGATCATACAGTCATCACTGAATGCAGCCACTTCAGCTACTTTACAGTCCTGTCTGGTGATTCTTCTCGCTTCATGCCAGTGCTATCCTCTGCCATTTCTACAGCAGTTGCTGTTGACCCATCTGACCACAAAGAGATACCCTACCGTGTGGTGCATGAGAAAGGCACACAGGTGGAGGAGAAGGACCTTGGGGCAACTCAAGACCGGCTTGAGAGCCTGCGCATTCTCAGCTGTTATTTTAAACTAGTTAGTTTTGATACATTAGAGGATCTGTATGACAAATGCCATCAGGACCTAGACTGGACTACCAACCTGCTGCTAGACTCTGGAGAGAAGTTTTTTAGAGATGAGGATGGTGAGAAGGATGAGCAAGGTTCTAGGGGTGAAGATGTCCAGACCACTTTCAGTCTGTGTGGAGCTTTAGGTGAAACCAAGTTCTGTAGTGATGTGTTAAATGAGTCTGAAAGTTTGCCTAAGGCAGGGTCAGCTGGGTCTGAGGATAGCACTCAGGAGTCTATGTCTGGAACAGTTAGTGAGTCAAATGAGAGCTCCAGTACCGATTTCACCTCCGTAACTGTTCCAGTTAGGAACAAAGATCATCCTGATACAACCTCACACTTAGAAAAATCTCCTCAGACAGAACTTAGTCAACCTGAAGCAGCAAAAGAGAAAGAGAAATATAGCAACACTGAACACAAAGTGATATCAGAACATCACTTAGAAGATGTTTGGGGTGGGAGCTTAGATGATGGAGTAGTTATCAAAGAGTCGCGGGTTGAGACTGAGGATGATATTGCCAGCATGGAAGAGGTCCACCGTTTGCTGCTGGCTGAGCTAGAGGAGATGGAAATGGAGGAAAAACAGAGGAAGGAGGAGATGAGGAGCAGACACCTGGATATTCAGAGTGTGGAGCTGAAACTACCCACTGAGTTGGCACTACAGCTAACCGAACTGTTTGGTCCCGTGGGAATAGACCCAGGTAACTAACACACAGGTATCACACTGAAATATACATTTAATGCTCAAATAACAATCCAGGCCTTAAGGCATCAGTATGCTTCAAACTAACTACATCATATGACATGATGTCCCTTCATCTACAAAGGCAAAATTGTAAAATATACATGATCCTATGGGCCACACTTGGAGGTGGGGCGAAAAGCCTGCTGTCATAGAAAGGAGCAAGATGTGGTTATTTGTAAAACTGGGTTCATAGCACACGCTTTGGTACAGTCTCTCCTTAAAGGCATTCATGGTATTGTACACAGCAAAAGGGATGGCAGTAGTTGTAAAAAGAATGCAAACTAGAGAACTTTAAGAAAGTCACAGCTGCACACCTGGCTAGTTGCTGCATACAGGTACAGTGGTGTGAAAAAGTATTTGCCCCCTTACTGATTTCTTATCTTTTTGCATGTTTGTCACACTGTAATGTTTCAGATCATCAAACAAATTTAAATATTAGTCAAAGATAACACAAGTAAACACATCATGCAGTTTTTAAATGAAGGTTTTTATTATTAAGGGAAAACAAAATCCAAAACTACAAAGCCCTGTGTGAATAAGTGTTTGCCCCCCCTGTCAAAACATAACTTAACTCTGGTTTATCGCACCTCATTTAAATTTCTCTAGCCACACCCAGGCCTGATTACTGCCACACCTGTTCGCAATCAAGAAATCACTTAAATAGGACCTGCCTGACAAAGTGAAGTAGACCAAAAGATCCTCAAAAGCTAGACATCATGCCGAGATCCAAAGAAATTCAAAAACAAATGAGAAAGAGAATAATGAAGCTCTATCAGTCCGGAAAAGGTTATAAAGCCATTTCTAAAGCTTTGGGACGGCAGCGAACCACAGTGAGAGCCATTATCCACAAATGGCGAAAACATGGAACAGTGGAGAACCTTCCCAGGAGTGGCCGGCCGACCAAAATTACCCCAAGAGCGCAGCGACAACTCATCCAAGAGGTCACAAAAGACCCCACAACAACATCCAAAGAACTGCAGGCCTCACTTGCCTCAGTTAAGGTGAGTGTTCATGACTCCACCATAAGAAAGAGACTGGGCAAAAATGGTTTGCATGGCAGAGTTCCAAGACGAAAACCACTGCTGAGCCAAAAGAACATAAAGGCTCGTCTCAGTTTTGCCAGAAAACATCTTGATGATCCCCAAGACTTTTGGGATAATACTCTGTGGACAGACGAGACAAAAGTTGAACTTTTTGGAAGGTGTGTGTCCCATTATGTGTGGTGTAAAAGTAACACCGCATTTCAGAAAAAGAACATCATACCAACAGTAAAATATGGTGGTGGTAGTGGGATGGTCTGGGGCTGTTTTGCTGCTTCAGCCCCTGGAAGACTTGCTGTGATAAATGGAACCATGAATTCTGCTGTGTACCAAAATATCCTGAAGGAGAATGTCCGGCCATCCGTTTGTGACCTCAAGCTGAAGCGAACTTGGGTTCTGCAGCAGGACAATGATCCAAAGCACACCAGCAAGTCCACTTCTGAATGGCTGAAGAAAAACAAAATGAAGACTTTGGAGTGGCCTAGTCAAAGTCCTGACCTGAATCCAATTGAGATGCTGTGGCATGACCTTAAAAAGGCAGATTTGGGTTTTTTTTTGTCTTTAATCCATAATCATCAAAATTGAAACAAATAAAGGCTTGAAATATTTCACTTTGTGTGTAGTGAACTAATAAAACATACAAGTTTCACTTTTTGAAACAAATTATTGAAATAAATGGACTTTCCCTCGATATTCTAATTTTTTGGCACATACCTGTAATGTGGGTAAGGCTGTGAGATACTGTATCTCAAATAATTTTGCATGCGGCTGTAATTGTGCCATCTGAAAGGTGCTTTCATATGCTTTTAGATGATCTACCAACCACTGTGTTTAAAAGGTACAGAGGCTTGTGGTTTTCATTAATGAATTGCTGAACAAATAAGTAAAACAATCTTACTTTGTTGGTCTGAACTGACATAATGGGAACTGTCCTCTCTATTTTATTGTATTCAGGTATATGCTCTGCTGATGACTTTGCAGTGAAAATGGACCTAAACCTGGCTAAGCTGATCCACCAGAAGTGGAAGGAAACAATTCAGGTAAGCTCTTTGACATTAGGCAGTGTTAACTAACCAACAACAGTATTATCAGTGCAACTATAAATTTATCCTGATGTCCTGATTTACTGAATGTATTTATTGGCATTGTTTATGTTTGACAGACTCTTTGCAGGTTAATCAGACTATTAATGGTGTTTTACAGGAAAGGCAGAGACAAGCAACTCTTTCC